ACAAAATATCCCGTCATACAAAAACTGCTAACCCTGTACTTTAGATCTGTACAAACATGTTCTAAAATGTGATTCTTGTCAGTTCATAGTTCAGTCTTTTATTCAGTTCTTCTTCGTTTAAAATGTGAACTTTGAACAAAATCCTATTAACATAAATGATAAGTCTGATCACAATGCGGATAAATTGTCACATAAACTGTAATTAGATATTTTTTCGAAATCATTCAGCCCCAGTGGAGGCAATCCCAATGTAAAATTATCACTTACAGGGTTTTTTATTAAGTATCACTTGAGGCCTCTACCAGTCTTTTACTGTTCACATCCTGTTCGATAAGTGTCTCTATCTCTTGCCTTGTGTTCTCTACATATTTTAGATTTTCCAGGTTTAAAAATAGAGTGAGTTTTCCCGACTCCTCTGTTGTAGTATCTGCTTCTTGTAGCCTCGCACTTGTATAAAATAAGGCTCCAAGTCTCTGCTCCTCTTCAGCCTTAATCTGTTTAATCTCAGATTGGCTCTGACATAACTTTACTATCTCTTCTTAATGCAGCCTCGAAAGCCCTGCCCAAATCATTCACACTTTCAATTCTATCAGGAAGAAACTTGGAAGGAAGAATTAGACACAAATACTAATACAAGTACTTGAACAATGAGCAATATAACAAAAATACATTTAATTGTGATCTGACCAAAAAACTAGTATTATCAGAAATAGTATCCTCATCATGTCCGGATCACGTGTACCCAGTTTCATAATACTCCCTCTAAGTATGGCATTAATACAGTTTATACAGCTAAAAACTGGGGGAAATAAACTAAACCAAAATGACTTATGAATCCTCACTAAACCCCAGAATCTACTGCCAATCCTGAACCAGTGCTAGTGCAGCTCAATGAGGGAACTCTTGAGGGTCTGAACTTTCACGTGAGGCATGGTCTGTCCATATGGTGAAAAACTTCTATATGCAATCTTGTATCTGGGTAAGGCACTGGCAATTAGTATTGTCACTAGAGGTGTAACGATATCCAAGTCTCACGATATGATATCGTCATGCTATGAACCTCACGCTACGCTATTTATTGCTATATCGTGGGAAAGCTCATAATATGGTTGGGAGGCTCACGATTAGGGATGTAACAATATCCAAATCTATCTGTATGATAATTTCATGATATACATCTCACAGTATGATATTTATTGTGATATTTTGTGGAGGCTAAACATCTAAAACTGTGAATATGCTACTTTTCCCTCTTAAAATGCCTTTACAAAACTTAATCCAAAAAACTAAGACTTAAAAGTGCTTAGAACTGTTGTTTCTTCATGTAGTCTAAACTGAAATGAAGCAAAGGATCATGATCTATGTAGTTCCTTCTGTCTTTTTTTAGCTATTGCTCCACCATAACTCTTAATTTAAGCAAAGAGACTCGATATATTGTGATGGTCCACGATATTACTGTGAGAACTTTGATTATACAATATCACAATTTTTTGGTTATTGTTACATCCCTAGTTGTCACAATACTAAATTTTGATTTCGGTACTAAGTATTAGACTTGATACTCAATAAAAAACACACACATTTATTTAGTCAATACAATGTGATTTTCAACATTAAATTCCTTTTATATTGCCATGTGGTCTTATATTTGTGTAATCCCTCAGTGGTCCAGGTATGTTCCATAGTGGTCCATGGGTGTATACTAGTCTATGTGCTCTTAAACTTGTTGTGATACAGCTCAAGATTATTCTAAAGCTATTCAGGAAAGGTTAATTTTTGTCCTGTGAATGTGTTTTTTTTGTATCAGTACTTGCTCAAAGGAGTAACTAGTGTTGATACGATTAGTAGTGCTACAGGCATCCCAGTTCAGTTGTGATTGTTGTTCCTTTTTTAAACCATTAAGAGCTCAAACTACAAACCTTTAACCCAATAAATACGGTATCTATCTGTCTAAATGTTGACATATACATAGTGACATTTGGATGTTCCTGTATTTACAAAAGCAGAAGTTTGGTTATTTCGTCAGACGCTTGTTGTTCGGTTTACACTAGGATGTAATGGTGTTTGGAAAAGCTTTTTGCTCCTATTCGTTCATGTTCCTGTAAATGGTCAAAGTAGGAAGCAGCAGTGGGAAGTTGGGTTAGGTGTTGTCCAAGCTAATCAATAGGAAGGACATTATGGCCTAATGGTTGTTCCTCTATTCAATTGTTTTGAGCGGCAGAGTGGTTATCCCGTCTCCTGCTTTTCAGTAAGGATACTGTGGGTTCGACTCCTGATCTTTCTGAGTGGAGTGTACATGTCCACCCTATGTTTCTGTGGCAGAGTTGTTACCTGCTTGTTTCTATGTAGATGTTCCACAGTATTGCATTAGATTTTTTTATCTTGCATTTATCCATGTATTTTTATTGCTAAAAATACCTTGAAAATCACATTTGTTCTGTGTATGCTTTTGCCTCCACAGATCTAACCTGTAACTTGTCTTGAATGCAACACCTGCTTATCTTCAGGGAGATTAGATTTAGACAAGGGAAATTACTTTACACGACACCTTGCACATCACAATATATTATAACAAAGAGCAAACTATAGATGGTAACAATAAATTCAAAATAAGTAGCAAAAATAGCAAGAGATTGGTATCAAATAAGGCATAATCATACAAAGATATATGTACAATTAAAAATAAAAGCGGTCATAAAGAGAAAACAGTGCAACTATGAAATAGTGATTGACCTGACATAGGGTTATCTGTGACATAAAGGTGAGTTGTTGTACAAGTTGTATGAAGTATGGTATGAATGTAGTCCTGTATCTCTCACTTGACCTCATATTTTAAATGTTTTTGACAAGTTTCTGATAAAGTTGTGTGGTAGAACAGGTATAGTCACATATTGTCAGATCAGCTGTAGTTTTGACCCTGTTATTTGTCCCTGGGTTTTGTCTGTCAGGCTGTAGGCGTTTACACATACTCAGTCCCAGAGGCAGTGGAATGTCCCTCCTTCACATTTGGACCAGGGCCAGATTTGAGCGACCCACGAAGGCACTTCCTGTCTCCAGACCAGATGAGACCACTACCCGTGATTATAAACAGGAAATTGCTCGTTGTACTACAAGTGCCTATGACAAGTTAAACTACTCATTTTACTGAAACACACTTCAGAGCATTATATTTAAGCTTTAGCTAAAAATATTTGTTGTATGTTTAAGATTTTGCTAAAAATGTTCCTGGTTTGGCAGAATTTTAATTTTTAAAATTTTACTTCCTGGTTGTAAATTGTGACATCACACTAGGGAATTCCATCTCCCAGCAACCATGTTGTACACTAAGCCAAAACTCCTTTAATGTGCACAGAAATGATTATTTGGCAAACAAAATGATAAGAAAACACCTTTATTTTATTGAAATAATGTTTAAAGTACCATGTCTTACTACTTCTTGATTGATATAACACTATCTTTTGTATTTACCACAGGCATTATCCCACCAAATTAAGTCCAAAATAGACAATCACCAAAACTGTCTTACACACTTTAAAAATGCACTTTGTAACTTTTCAGATGGAAGTTTTACGATGTACTTGTCTACATGGTGATTATTGCTTTGCTTTAAAATTTCCACAGTATGGCATTTAACTCCATGGAGAGACTAGATACAATAGATACTTTGTAGTAGCATGGGGGTGCAGCTGGCGGTGTTTTACATGTATCTCTCTACTGGCAGAATGTTCAGAAGTTACCATGATGACAAACAAGATTTAATATAGTCAGAAAATTCAAGAAAAAAACTGAACAAAAACAAAATGTATTTAAACAACACACTTTCAGGAGCCAGTGATCAATACAAGTGTCAGTGCTCATGTTTGATTTTCAGCAAAAAAGGTGAGAGTGACTAACTGAAAAACTGTTAAACTGCAAACTGCAAAGTATCAGTAATATCAAGATCACATGATGATGATGAATATTGCATCTTTTTCTCTTATCATTCAGCCCTACATTTCTTCACTGTTGAATTTATCTTTTTTAGGGCTTCCCCGCTGCCCTCTCTCTGCTCTTTTTTGGTCCTCTCTTGTTTTCTGTCGAATGTTCAGTCCGAGAGTCTCAGTTGGTTTGTGTCACAGTTTGGACCTCGGCCAGTTTAAGCCCCTGCTCTCATTTAGGTCATGGGAAAACTACACAGTTAAATTCCTCATTACACTTAACAGACTATTTTTCCCTCATGAGAGAAACAGAAATGTTGTGTTTTTTAAGATAAGATCGATGCATGCTTAGATTATGTTGCCTTTTAAACTTCAAGCTCAGCTTGTTTTTATATTTTAGTGAAAAACGGGTGTGTTATGTTATTGTAGGGTTTATTGCCCCATAGGAAAAAGTAGGTATTTTTGTCATTTGAATCAGTCATCAATGCTGTTGGGATTAAATTGTTGAAAAGCAGTGAACCAGATAAGCTTGTGTTTTAACTGCTCAATGTATTTAAACTGCCCTCGGAGATAAATAAAGTTATTTTTATTGATTGTGGGATTTGCAGATGGCCTGTCATGAGAAGTACTATATTGACTTATTGTTTAGTATATGAAAGCTGAATCAATATATTTTGGAGCTCACTGTTTATTGTGTATACAGTTTCTTTGCGTGAAGTGGGGAGATTTCATTTATTTTTGAGCTGCAGTTGAGTTGAAAATGTAACTTCTATGGTTAATTATGGCTTCATTCTGCTATGTATTTGTTGCTGCTCATGCTTTTTAATGATTTAATGATGACACTGTACTTTAATTATTACTTTATTATTATTGTGTCAGTACCATAAAGTAGTTTCAATATTATCTCTGTAGCATTATATGAAGCTTCAGAAATTGTTATCATGACAGGCCTGTTTACAGATTGTTTATGTTAAGGGGGAACATGTTTGGGGGTTGCTTCTTTTTCTAATACTTTGTTTTGTTAATGTATAGATATGTTACCACTTATATGAATGACTAACATCTGCTTCTTGTCTGTTTCAGGGGGGCATTCTCCGAGGTGGTCCTGGCTGAAGAGAAGAGGACCCAGAAACTCGTGGCCATAAAATGCATCCCCAAGAAGGCTCTGGAGGGGAAAGAGACAAGCATCGAGAATGAGATTGCCGTCTTACACAAGTAAATACACAGCATATATTATAATGTGATTGGCCATATTTACTGCTGCTGTGTATGTGCGTTATTGTCTAATTGAGTAATCCAGTGGTGATAGAGGGGGTTCTTCTGGTAGTTCCCCTGTGCCATTTAAAGGGGGGCTATATATTTTCTGATCAATGTTATAATGTAGTTTCCTCAACACAAACATACCTGGAGTTGTGTTTTATTTCATTCACACATGTTTAACACACAGACTCTGCATATTTCGACTGAGTTCTTCTCTCAAACAGAAAACACTGTTCCAACTTGTGATGTCATGTTGTAATACAGGAAGGTCTCTTGTGTTTGAATAATTGTATAATTTCAGCCCTGGAATTTACAAGCTCTGCTAAACAAAAGGTAAAAAGTAGCTGTTAGCTTCAAAGCTACCACTTTATCACTAGGTGGAACAGAGCATTGTTGGTGGAACAATGTTCTAACATGACTTAAGCCTCACTAGAGTAAAATTGGTGTAATACAGGACCTTTAACACACATCCATAAAAGTTTCCTCCATAGTCCTTACCTTACCATGATGAATTCTTGTTGTATTTCTGAATTCACAAACTTGAGATAATCCGCCTGGCTGCACTTCAAACTATTTTTGCAAAAATACTGACTTTTTTATGTGCAGAGGGAAGTGCTATGAGCAGTTGGTAAATGGTCATGTTTTTACATAGCGCTTTTCCACCTTCAAGGCACTACAAGCACTTTATACATCAAGGAACTGCTCAAGCATTCACACACATTCATACACCAGTGTACACAGACAGTGCTGTTTTGTTGCTTTGCTGATGTGAGAGATCTATGCTGTTCTCTCAGCTGGGTGTACGAAAGTTAGACCTGCTGTTGTGTCACTACAGGTTGATCAAGTTGAAGTATTTGCTGAAAGATTCCACCTTTCCTGACAACAGTGAGAGCTCTCTCAGATGGATAAATGTGTAAAACTTGAATCAAGAGTGTCAAACATTACATGCCTTAACATTTCAGTTACATTGTGCTCATATTTTTAGCCACACTTGTCTGTAATAGTTTTGTAATGTGAACTGTAATTCATTATAATGCACTCAACCACTTCTTCCTCCTCTTGCTCCTGTAACCATAAACCCACTATGTTCACTAATATCCATCTGAAATACAACCTCCAACATAGTGAATTTTTCATCAGTGCAGATCTGTTACCACGGCATTAGAACGTTTATCACCCAAGTGCATCTTATATGAGGCAGCTAAACTTTATGACAAGAAGGAATTCAATATGGCCGATCGTGAGGCTGGTTTACTTACATTAGTTATGCAGATCATGAAATTTGAGAAGAACATTTGTTTACTAAATAATAAATGCATCAATGAATCACAAAGCATTCAAGGAGGAGATGGAACAAAACAATTTATCTTCAGTTAATGGTGGGGCACATATTGTCTATAAGAAATTGTTGTTTAAAAGTAAATATTAAGTTCATATTACACACTTATTACAATATTTTCTATGTAATAATGTTGTTTCCTCATCAAAAACATTCCTGGAGGTATATTTAGTTTCATTCACACATGTTTAACACACAAATCCTGCAACGCTCTGTACCTCCTTGTAATGTCATGGTGGAACAGTTTTCTGTTTGAGAGAAATGCTCCACTATGTTTTTAAACACCATACACCTTTAGTAGATGTGGATGATTTCAGGCCTGGAATTGCCAATCACTACTGAACTCACGGTGAAAGGAGCCATTAACTTGAAAACTACCACTACATGACATCAGAAGTATTTTGAGCTTAGAGATGTAGACAGACTAATAATAAAGGGTTCTTCAAACATTTGTGAATTAAACTAAACAACACAACTGTTTTTGACAAGGTAACAGTTTTATAAAATGGCTTAAAGCGCACAAGAATTAAGAATTTTGGGTAATACTGTATAGGGCCTTTAATAAGAAAACTCTCCACTTCCTTCCCTCTCTCTTCCTTTCACTCTCCACTGTTTCTCATCGACCCCCCCCCACACACAGACTTTTACCTCCTCTCTTGCCATCTCATTCCCTCAGTCTTTCTTTCCGTCTCTTTCTTTTCTTATCTGTCTTTCCATCCTTCCCAATGTTTCCATCTATATACTTTCCCCCACACTCTACTTCTCTCTCTCTCTCTTAGTTGCCTTCCTTTTCCATCTTTATCTCCTGCTTTCTTTTTCTATCTCTCACTCTCGTCTTTTCCACACCCTCTTTTCTCCACTCTCTCTTCCTGGCCTTTAACCCCATTTCGGGCTCTCTTCTCCATATCTCTCCCTTTTTCCTCCCTCTTTTTTTTTTCTTTCTGTCTCTTCCTCTCTCTCTCCCTTCGCCCTCTCTCCATCTTTCTCTTTCTTTCTCCCGTTAAAACAAAGATGGAGGTGGCAGGCAGTAATTATGAGGTGTGTTCAGATGTGTTCATGGTGGAATCACAGCCCACAGTGAAAAACCTGTACAGTTATTTATAGACCTCACACTGCCTGGGCTATCACGACTTCAGTTAGCAAACATGAACAATTTATAAAATGGAGAAAAAGCTACACAAAAAACTTGAGCATGGTAAAGTAGCTTGCTCGACAGCATAGTGGCAGAGTGGTTAGTGTTTCAGCCTCACAGCAAGAAGGTCCTTAGTTTTTATTGCTGGAATGGGTGTAGGCCCTTCTGTCTGGATATCTGTAATCCCTCATTTATGTAGGTAGGTTCCATTCCAAACAAAAAAATTGTTGAAAATTTTATTCTGGACATTTTTTTAGTACAATCTTGCATGCTTTTTTTTTGTTTGTTTGTTTTACTGCGTATGAGCACGTATTGTGTTCCTACCCTTGTGTCCTGATTGGCTAAGAGATTGGTAGACCATTGTCATTCAGTCTCCTTCGTGTCGTGTCTCCTGTGCAGTACAGAATGCGTTCAGCTGCCAAATTTACATAAATGTTCGATCACTAGCAGTGTGATTCTGAAGTGCAGCGCGATCGGGCAATAGCTGCGCTTACCATGAGGTGTGGAGCTGTCCATCGTCCCTTTCTCCTGCGGTCACCTCTGAGCCTGTCCCGATCGTGAGTCCTGGTTCAGTCCTGGTTTACTTCTGTTTCAGTCCTGTTTTAGTCCTAGTTCAGTCCTGGTTTAGTCCTCCTCTTCAGTCCTGGAATCAGTCCTAGGTTAGTTCTGGGTTAGTCCTAGTTTAGTCTTGGTTCAGTTCAGTCCGTGGCGTATGCAACACAAAAGTTTGATATAATCTCGGGTTAACGGGCGGGTGCGGTGCTGTACTGCGCGGGTGCGGGTCTCCAAAAACCCGTGCAGGACTCTGCGCTGTAGGGCTCCATGTAATTAATCTTCGCTTCGTTACATAAAGAAGGAGGAAAATAACATAAGGACAACAGCAGTGATAAGTTTTAAGACGGATGCAAAAAGGATTAAGTGTGTGGTGAGGGGTTTTACAGCCTTAAAACAGATATAATCATTGTAAAATATAAAGTTGACTACTTTGCGGATTTCACCTATCACTGGGTATTTTTAGAACGTAACCCCCGCGATAAACGAGGGACCACTGTATTGCATTACCCTAAGGTGTGAACTGTCACCTGAGTCAAATTGTTCTGTATGGAGATTGCATGTTCTCTTCATGTGTAGCTTTCCTCCAAGTCCTCCGGTTTCCCCTACCACTAGGTCTGTCATGATGACAAGTTTCTGAACTGTGATATATTGCTGATGTAAATATAGATGACAAATGATAAAATTGAAATCAAACCATGAAGCAGAATTATTCCCCCAAACGATTCTAAATGTACAGTTTTATTAAAAAATATAGACTGCAAAAATTAAATAGCAGAATGCTATGTAGTACTTATAATGATAGATGTACCTACCATTACAAACATTGCCAGATCTCTCCAAATCTTAATGCGATTAAAGAATAAATACATTTAGAATAAGCAGGGATGCATTTTTTTCAGTTCTGACACTATTACTGATACTTGGATTTTTAAGTATCTGCCAAAACACGATATTAACTAAAGCCAGTGTAGGGATGGCCCTATTTCTTTAAAACACAGTGAACTTATTACACAAGACATTCTAGGCCAAAATCACCCTGTAAATAGTCTTATTACATCCAATTAAAGACCCAACCAGGATATCATCTTAACCATCTTAACTGACATCCGATACCCAATCCAGTTAATTTTTCAGCAACCCAGTATCTGTATTGGTTCACCCCTAATCCCCTAATCAAAAATCCTAATGTGAAGCTTTACAAAGGTTAAAAGTTATCTAAGGTCAAAACTGGTCAAAAAGCTTAATTCTATAAAGATGTTGAGACCACAATGAGGTTTAAAAAGTAATGCTGTTAAATGTATGTTAAATGTGTTTTAGACAACACAATGCTCTTTTCAGTACAATATAATAATATGAATATGCTGTCCCCATAGTGTATTATCTGTATAGTTCAGAAACATTTACAAAACAAAATGGTTGTTTTGGTTTGTTGATAAAGTCATGTCAGAAGCATCTAAAGATTCAAGTTCTTCAAAGGTTTTACACTAGAAACAATTACAGCAGGTTGCCAGACACTAATTATCTGCAGAAATATGTTGTTATGTTAATAGTGCTGTTGTTTTGGTAGAGAGGGAAGTTTACATGTTTCTGTTGATTCTGCAGAGAGGACAGAGTCCCAGCATGTCCCAGTTCTGTGCTGGATTCCTACTCAGTACACACAGCAGTGCATATTTAGAATACACTTATTTATAATGTCACTGCAGCCCAGATATGTTAATGTTTGCACTGATTTAAGACCAGGGTTTTATCTGGACTGGTTCTGCTCCACACTCCCAATTGAAATCCCTTTTTTTTTCTAAATAACCTAGATCTTTACAGATTTTACAAAAAAATATTCTGCTCAAATGGCATTCACTACAGATCAGATCTTGTTAGCAGGCAGTTGCTCTCCATGTGCCCTCAGGAATGGTTATTATCTTAATCGATAAT